CATTTCCTATGAGGCCAAACCCTAAACCCCAAACTAGTCATGGGATTCTCTACTTACTAACCCCCTGTCTGCAACCCTTCTTAGGTTCCTCTCGTAATCGAAGTGCTTCAGGCGATAATTAGCCCGAATTCAGACTCTAAGGGGGAAACTAGGATGTAGTATAGAGGGGCGGGAGTAGTAGGGGAACTGTGAACCCTAGATGCTAAACCCTAGACCCTCAGTTCATGACTTGGGGACTATCAGCAAGACCCCCCATGCCCGCCCAAATTTATCCCGTGGCAACCCTCATGGTGACAGTAGCTCACATGAGCAGCATGCTTTTGACAGAAGCTTATATTCTCCATATCTACTACTAGACCCAAAAGGAGGAGATCATCTTACCCTGTAGTGGGGTCTAGGGCGTAGGGTTGGCCAAGCTCTTGCATGAAAGGCAGGGCCCTTCTTGCAAAACACCCCCCGCACCCGGAGCTCAGTGCCCAGGGTTTAGGGCGCTTTAGGGTTTAGGGTTTAGGACCCCTGCCACTCTAAACCCTTAAACCTGCAGCCAGACCGTCTGACGCTCTGCAGCCCCTCACCCATTTCCGAAGGAAATAATCATGATTCCGGGGCCTCCTTCATGGAAATCATCCAAAGCGCCCAAGCGTGGACTGTAAGCTAAAGATCAGATATTGCCAGGTCCATAAGCCTTGACTCGCAACTTGCTCAACTTGAGGCTCCCTTTATCTTCCCCCACGACAACCTAATACAGTCCCGAGACAGTCTAAGCAAAACTGCACAGAAAGAGCGTAAAACCCCTAAACCCCTAAACTCTAAACCCTAAAAACCCTAAACCCTAAACCCCTAAACCTCTAAACCCTAAACCCCAAGCCCTGTTGAAACACCTACCTCCGAGCCCTCCTCGGAGCCCTCGATGGACCCCTGAGTTGCAGTCTGCTTTGTTTCTGAGAAATGGGGTTTAGGGCTTAGGGTTTAGGGTTTTGGGTTTAGGGTTTAAGGTTTAGTGTTTAAGGTTTAGGGTTTAGGGTTATAAGTTTGAGGGCTTAGGGTTTAAGGTTTAGGGTTTAGGATTCAGGGTTCGGGGCTTGTGGCTTAGGGCTCAGGATTTAGGATCCAGGGTCTAGGGCTTAGAGTCACTGGGTGTTGAGCTGACGAAATGTTCCAACCTTTTTTTGGGGTACTTGGAGGTACCTGAGCTAGAATGTAAACTCCTGAAAGGGGCGTTATATAGGGGATTGTATAGGGGACCATCACAAGGCTTATTAAACAGGATCTAGGAGTTTAGATGATAGCTGACATTGGACTAAGTAAATTCTTTATTGCTGTGCCTATCGGCCTACTTGTAATCCCCTCTGTGACCTTCTGGGAGGTACCCCAATGGCATTTATAGAGCTATTACCCGAGTTCGAATACTTACTTCCGGCTCCCCAAAGCCTCCAGGTAATCCTAAAACCTAAACTTTGAATATCCCCAGATTCACTACAGAACCCCCTTACAGGGTCCCTAGTTACTGAGCCCGAGGGCCAATTGGTGTATGAACTGACCAGAAGTACATACAATTTCAGTGGAACCCATGAGGGTTTGGGAGCGTTCAAAGGTCGAGGTCAGATGGTGGGAAAAGGATGCCACACCATGAAGGCAGCAGACACTAAACCGGCCTCAGAACCCCGCTAGAAATTAGGATTTTTGGTTGTTATTTGGAATATAATACCCTAAAAGAGTTATGGTTCTTACTAGGATGATAATGCCCGAAAATAAAAAAAAATGTATATGTTGGAGGCCCCTATCGGGAAGTTGAGCCCGACTTTCTTGACTCGCTGTCGGACCTACACTCTATCGGCAGCGGTTGTCAAATCTGTAAGCCTGTGGGCAGCATGCGTCCGACCCTAAACCCTAGAATGTCCACACCCTAAACCTGAAACCGTGTAGAAGTGTCTGTTCAGCACGCTTCCCTCGCAAGAATCATTTGCCATCATATGTTGTCATACATGGACTACTCGTACTACTGGATCCAATCCCACATTATCTGCTAACCATCAATGACTTCAAGGGAAAAAAAAGTACCTCGCTCTCAAGGGTTGTGGCCCGTGAGCATGCGCTGCATCTCATCAACCGGAACACGTAACATGGCTGCCTATCAAAGTGAGGCAACCCAAAAACAAAGGGGATAGGTTAGTTCATGCCAGAATTTACAGCAACCCCTTCAGACCGGTAGTACGGGCATCCGTTTGAGGAACCCATCTGCCCCGCCATCCCCAGACCCCAATCCCTAAACCCGAAAGCCCTCAACCCTAACCCTCACCGCCCACCCCACCCCTGAACAACAAACCTTACACTCTAAACCCTAAACCCTAAAAAAGTTGCAGCATCTTGGAACCACACTCCACCAACCGCATCGCGCGCCGTGTCATCCATCCTAGGAGCTTGCCAGCAGCCATGCGGTTTAGGGTTTAGGGATGATCCCTAAACCCTACACCCTAAGCCCCAAACCCCAAACCCTGCCGGTATTTCTACTTAAGGCTTTGGGGATGGGGAGCCCCAAGCCCCAAACCCTGCTAGTATTTCTAGTTAAATGTTTTGGGATGGGGATGGATTCCCAAAACGGGTATACAATGTAGGGTTTGAGGTAGAGGGCGTAGGGTTTGAACCTTGAAGACCTAAGACATACTTGGGGTGGATTTCCAAGGAATTTGTGTGATCCCCTACGATGGAAATAATTACAACTGCTACTCATTCCTTAGGTTGTACTGTAATAAAAATGAAAACACTTCCTAAGAAGACTACAGCTTACAGATTGTATGTTGGTCATGCGGATAATCTCTCATCCTGTGCCCGTGTTCAAGTGTTCAAAGGACACTGGTAAGTGAAAAAGGGGCCATGGCGCGAGAATTCCGCATTATCGACTCAACCCTAAAAAACCTAAAGCCCTAAAAACCTTACACCCTAAGAGCCTAAGACCCTAAAACCCTAACACCCTAAACCCTCCTACAAGCCTGAGTTATCGAGGCGTCAGGTCCCAGACTTGCTCAAGCTACGACGGAAAGCATTGCGTTGCTTTTGATGGTAGACCCACGATGAATACACCCCCTCCCCTTAGCAGGGACTATGATAAGGATCCTAATATCAAGGCCCTAAAAAGGAGGGGGCTCATTAATCACAGGTCCACATTGCGCTGCTCCCACTTAGCCTCGCTGGCGGTTTTGGGCGAAGGGTTGCGGGTTTTCGGGCTAGTAGGGAGTATGGGAATATCATCACTGCATGACTTGTGTGAAGGCAGCACCATGAGCAAATCGTTGAGCATCAGAGGATACAGTCCGGGTGCCCCAACACCCTCCGTAGGCCCCAAACTAGAAGCCCATCTGGACCCTCCAAAGGACTTCCTTTTGGGTGTGGGTATGGTTCTGGGTTAATCTTCCGGTTAGGTCGCAAAAAGAAAAACGACATTGAAGGGTGTAGGTAGGCACTAAAAACTTCTACACATGATAGTATTCTTGTTTATGGTCCCCCAAATTGGACACCAGACATACACCCTCAAGTTCTTAAAGAACACTATATACTCAGCAAAAGCTGTAGATAACTGAGCCATAACCCTAAACCCTAAACCCTAAACTGCGGCCTAAGCGCCGCCGCCCAGCAACGCGGCGGCGGCCTATGCGCTCCTCGCTACTTTAGCGACTTGCTGCCCGATCGGTAACGATGCCTTCCACGGGAATGGTACAACTAGCACGTACGTGGCACCACAAGCGTGAACCTGTTCTCAATTGGGACCATGCCTGGTCCCGCGGGTACCCGCGCTTGCAAAGCCTATAAGGTATATACCCTAAACCCTGCACGCTTGATCCTGGGGCGCGCGCGCGCGGCGCGCTTATCCTTGTCTTTCTACCCCGGCCCGGACCAATTCATTTTTAGGTTTCTGCACAGTACCTTCAACAGAAAACTAGCAGAAGCGGTCTGGCAGAAATTACGTATTTTTGTTTTTCCTAGCCTTCCCCAGACCATTTCTGGTCATGTTCCACCTTCTTCCAGGCCAGTTATAAAATTTTTCCGGACCGTTTCTGGCTTTGGTTATCTAGGAAAAAGCTAGAAACGGTCTGGAAAAGCCAGAAACGGCTTCGAAGAATTTGAAAAAAGCGGGAAACAGCCTGGGAAAGGGCAGAAACGGTCCGGGAAAAGCTAGAAACACACCGGAAAAACCGGACAACAGTCAGAAACGGTCTGGGAATTGCCAGAAACGGTCCTTGGAAAGCCAGAAGCGCCTCATTTCGCTAATAAAAATGGCCCCAAAAAGAAGGACTCCAGAAACGGCTCGCTTCCAGGTCTACAGCACACAAGCAGAAATTCTAGGCCCATTTTGCCATTTCGGGCCCCAAAATGGGGGGCCCAGCAACGGCCCGTTTCTGCTTAGAAATTGCCTTTTCTTGGTCTACGCCACACAAGCAGAAATTCTAGGCCCATTTTGCCATTTTGGGCCCGAAAATGCGAACGGCCCAGAAACGGCCCGTTTCTGGTTAGAAATTACCTTTTCGTGGTTTACGGCACACAAGCAGAAATTCCAGGCCCATTTTGCTATTTCGGGCCCCAAAGTGGGAACGGCCCAGAAACGGCCCGTTTCTGATTAGAAATTGCCTTTTCTTGGTCTACGCCACACAAGCAGAGATTCCAGGCCCATTTTGCCATTTTGGGCCCGAGAATGAGGACGGCCCAGAAACTAACCATTTCTGGTTAGAAGTTGCCTTTTCTTGGTCTACGGCACACGAGCAGGAATGCCAGGCCCATTTTGAAATTGCCCGCACTCGAGCAGAAATTTCAAGAAGCCATTTAGGACCCGAAAATGGGGGACGGCCCAGCAACGGCCCGTTTCTGGTTAGAAATTGCCTTTTCGAGGTTTACGGCACACAAGCAGAAATTCCAGGCCCATTTTGCCATTTCGGGCCCCAAAATGGGGAACGGCGCCCAGAAACGGCCCGTTTCTGCTTAGAAATTGCCTTTTCTTGGTCTACGCCACACAAGCAGAAATTCTAGGCCCATTTTGCCATTTTGGGCCCGAAAATGCCGAACGGCCCAGAAACGGCCCGTTTCTGGTTAGAAATTGCATTTTCGTGGTTTACGGCAGACAAGCAGAAATTCCAGGCCCATTTTGCCATTTCGGGCCCCAAAGTGGGAACGGCCCAGAAACGGCCCGTTTCTGATTAGAAATTGCCTTTTCTTGGTCTACTACGCCACACAAGCAGAAATTCCAGGCCCATTTTGCCATTTGGGGCCCGAGAATGAGGATGGCCCAGAAACGGTCCGTTTCTGGTTAGAAATGTTTCTTGGTCTACGGCACACAAGCAAAAACTCCAGGTCCATTGGGGGCCTTTAGGGCTTCGAATGCCACCTTGCTATTGGGATTAGGGGGCTTTAAGGGATGCAAAAAAACGACCTTGCTGCAGGGACTAAGGAGTTTTTAAGGCCTCCAAAAACTGGCTTGCTGTTGGAATTAGGGACCTTCGAGGGCCTCTAGAAACTAACTTGGCTTCAAAAGCTGCTTTGTTGTCGGGATTAGGGAGCTTTGAGGGCCTCTAGAAACTATTTGTTGCAGGGGTTAGGGGGCCTTTAGGGGTTCGCATGCCACCTTGCTATTGGGATTAGGGAGCTTTAAGGGCCGCAAAAAAAACAACCTTGCTGCGGGGTTTCAGTAGCTTTTAAAGCCTCCCAAAACTAGCTTGCTGTTGGGATTAGGGACCTTCGAGGGCCTCTAGAAACTAACTTGCTGCGGGAATAGGGAGCTGCTAGGGCTTCAAAAGCTGCTTTGCTGTCGGGATTAGGGAGCTTTGAGGG